CATTTCAACATACAGTGTATATATATATATATATATATATATATATATATTTTTTTTTTTTTTTTTAATTTAAATATATTGAATACGGCCAAAATTTTAGCATTTCAAATATATGGCAATATATTTGGGAAGGATATTTTTAAAATATGTTTCAAATATATTTTTCTTCCATGTGGGATGAAACAATACAGTGTTACATTGTATTTACTCAATAACGCCCACCATTTTTCTTCTCTGGGGCCTCTAATTAAAAAAAAATATATAAGTGATTTTCTAAAAATGTAGATTTGTATTTTTAAAGACATACAGTATATTTGAAATGTAGATTTAAAAAATATTTTTCATATATTTTGTAATAAAAACACATTTCAACATGCAATGTATATATATATATATATATATTTATTTATTTATTTATTGAAATATATTGAATACGGCCAAAATGTTAGCATTTTCAAATATATGTCAATATATTTGGGAAGGATATTTTTAAAATACATTTCAAATATATTTTTCTTCCATATGGGATGAAACAATACAATGTTACATTCTATTTACTCAATAACGCCCACCATTTTATTCTCTGGGGCCTCTGATTAAAAAAATATATGTGATTTTCTAAAAATGTAGATTTGTATTTTTAAAGACATACAGTATATTTGAATGTAGATTTAAAAATATTTTCATATATTTTGTAATAAAAAACACATTTCAACATGCAGTATGTATGTGTATATATATATATATATATATATATATATATATATATATATATTTTTTTTTTTTTTTTAAATATATTGAATACGGCCAAAATGTTAGCATTTCAAATATATGGCAATATATTTGGGAAGAATATTTTTAAAATATATTTCAAATATATTTTTTCTTGCATGTGGGATGAAACATACAATGTTACATTGTATTTACTCAATAACGCCCACCATTTTATTCTCTGGGGCCTCTGATTAAAAAAATATATGTGATTTTCTAAAAATGTAGATTTGTATTTTTAAAGACATACAGTATATTTGAATGTAGATTTAAAAATATTTTCATATATTTTGTAATAAAAACGCATTTCAACATGCAGTATGTATGTATATATATATATATATATATATATATATATATTTTTTTTTTTTTTTTAAATATATTGAATACGGCCAAAATGTTAGCATTTCAAATATATGGCAATATATTTGGGAAGAATATTTTTAAAATATATTTCAAATATATTTTTTCTTCCATGTGGGATGAAACAATACAATGTTACATTGTATTTACTCAATAACACCCACCATTTTATTCTCTAGGGCCTCTGATTAAAAAAATATATAAATAATTTTCTAGCAAAATACAGATTTTTTTACATGTATGTGAGAAGTGACAGAATTGGTCCCGTAGGTAAGTAGTAGAGGCGGATACAACATCCTATTTTTTTGTACGTGTGCCAGACAGTCGAAGGAGAAATATGGCCAGAGCTCTTTTGGCTGTACATCTCCTGTGGATCCCAGGCAGGGGCGGACTGACCATTTGGAAACTCGGGCACTGCCTGAGGGCCCAGGGTCAGTAGGGGCCCCCATGAGATGCTCCTGGTACCTTTTTCATAGGCTTTTTTGAGTTTGGGCAAGGACACAGGGGCCCTATGATCCCCTATTGCCCGCGGGGCCCCATGAGTTGTCAGTCTGCCCTGATCACAGGAGTGCACTTAGTGACTTATATACAGTCGACAATGAGCTAAAGCCACTGGCAGCCAATGTTACCGAACCTGTCCAGACTCTGGAGGGATCCCGACTTTAATGTCAGGATCCACCCTGATTGCTGACTGACAGCTGGCTCAGCCTCACCACTGAGTGTCTAAGCCAGCCGCGGCCGCCCCATGCACAGCCCCGGTGGGGCACAGCGCAGAGGGGTGACGGACAGCCAACATTCTCTGCTCACTGAAAACTGAGAACCGAGCGATCAACGGTCATGTGATCACTCAATTCTCAGTCTTAGAGGCGGCGGGGAACTGATGCAGCATTGGACTGATACTGCATCCATCTAGATGAGTATTAATGTTTTTGGGTTTTTGTTAATTCCATACTTCTCTTTTACTGATTTGCTGTGTCCCTCAATGGACCAAAAACAAACTGGATTTTCATACTTCTTGTCAAATCCTTTTCTTCGAGGATCGCTTCTGCGTAGAAGAGCATTGCCAGCTGAAAGGGATGATGTCTGTAGCTGGAGGTCTCATCCCTGTCTCATCGCCTAAACCCGAGATTGTCATATGGCGTCCATCCAGGGTTGACCCCCCGGGTTCACATCCATGCGGCCGTGTGGGCCGCGTTTTGCAGGGGCATGAGAGCCCATTCATTTGAATGGAGTCCTGTGCCCATGACACGCAGGGAGGAAAATCCCTGCACTTCTTTGGAAACCGCAGCCCACATGGGACCCTCTGTTCTCAGTACCATTGCGTTTTCCAGTGTGGGCGGCGTGCCATTAGAACTAATAACACACGCCCGCGGGTCCGCAATTCTCTGTGCGGGTGGTGCGGCTGCACGGATTTTCGTGCGGATCCGCAGCTGCACCACCCGCACAGATGTGAGCCGGGGGTAAGTGTTTAAAATCCTTTTCTTGATGTCCATTGAAAGGGTTGGGTTATGCTGCCACCTACAAGAGGATCGGACATCCCACACAGTTAATGGCTTCCTGTGTCCCTCATTGAGAAAGAAAACAGAATTTTTCACTCGCTAGCAAATTTTGCAGTCAGCAAAGCTCATACTCCCAGCTGATTGGGTCAGCAAGGGGCATCAGACCTCTGCAGAGGGACTGCTGCTTCCACACAGAGAGCGAGGGTCCACTGCCCGAGGGCCTAGGGTCAGTGGGGGGCCCCATGAGATGCCCCTGGTACCTTTTTATAGGCTTTTTTGGGTGTGCTTTGAGTGTGGTCAAGGACACAGGGGCCCCATGATCCCCTATTGCCCAGGGGCCGCATGAGCTGTCAGTCCTCCCCTGGTGGCTGCTTTTCTGTAGAAAATTAACTTAGGGCCGGTTCACACGACAGGCGTTTCAGTTGCTTTTTTTTTCTGCATCCAAAACGCACAGAAAGTCGGTGATATGGTGGTCAGTGCCATAGTTCACATCAGTGCTCGCAGTTCCAGTGCGTTCAAAAAAAAAAAAGTAGATCAGGCTGCATTTTTTTCTGCACAAAACTGTACTGGAACGCGGTAAAATGCTTAAAAAATGCACCGGAATGCACCAAAACCCACCAAAAAACACACCAGAACGCACATGTCACTATTTAAATTGCAAAAAAAGAGGGGAATAAATGAACACATAAAAAAACACCCCAATATCACAAAAACACAAAATATGCAAAAACTGCGTCAAAAACGCATCTGGATGCACAGAAAGGTGATATGGTGGTCAGTGTCATAGTTCACATCAGCGCTCGCAGTTCCAGTGCGTTCCGATTGCAGAAAAAAAAGTAGAACAGGCGGCATTTTTCCTGCACAGAGCTGCACTAGAATGCGGTAAAACGCACCAGAACGCACATGTCCCTATTTAAATTGAAAAATAGAGAGGGGACAAAATGAACCGGAACTCACCAAGACCGCATCAAAAACACATAAAAACGCACCGGAATATGTTAAAATCTCATTAAAAACGCACATGCGCAAACGCATCTGGACTGCGTTTCTCTTGTGTGAATTGGCCCTAAAGGAGAACTCTGCCCCCCATGGACAGAACAGGTTTTAAAATGAGGAGGCGTGATCCGACTTCCTGTTAGAGGGTGGCTACGCTCCTTCTGCGTGGTCCCGCTGTATGTAGGAACGTTGCCACCCTCTCCTGCTCGCTCCTGAGATGGACAGTGGGAGGTGTAGTGTGCATGCAGCATGTGACCACAACTCACATGTACTGCTCATTCCAATTATAGGGAAAGCAGGGGGGGGGAGAGGTTCGGGAGCTCATGGAGGATGACACAAAAAGACACGGTAAGAAAAAAAAAAAAATGCACTGGAACGCACACGTCCCTTATTAAATTGAAGAAAAATTAAATGCATAAAAAATGCACCAAAAACGCATCAAAAACACATCCGGAACGCATCTAGACTGCGTTTCTATAGCCGGCCCCTAAAAATTTTGCGCGCTTTTTGTTGCACCCGGAATGCGTTTTTTGCCGAATTAAACTGAAAGTTCATTTGGGCTTTTTAGTTACTTTTTGCGCGGTGAGCAATGTTTCATGAACAGATTGCACTGGAAGGGTTCTGCTCGGGACAGAATGGCGCCAGAAAAGTCCTTCTAATGCAGGCCATAGACGGGTCGAAAATTGGCCAATTTGTCGGCCGAAAAAAAAAATTGGCCGATTTTTGCACCATTAGTGGGTTAATTGGTCGGCCCGTTTTTCGGGGTTTTGGCACATTTGTTTTATCGGTACAGTTGGAATGAAAATCGGCCGATTTTTTTCCGGCAATGATGGGCAAATCAGCTGATTGTTTTAACTGCGCAGGAGCCGTGACCTGCAAGAAGAAAAAGAAGAAGATGAAGAAAAAGAAGAAGAAAAAGATGAAGAAAAAGAAGAATTCCAGTCCACTTTTATATTTTACATGAAAAAGTCTTGCGGTTGCAACAATGTATCCATTTGTATCCGAATAAAAACATCTGTATCCGAAATAGATACAAATAGATACATTGTTGCAACCACAAGACCTTTTCATGTCAAATATAATAGCGGAGCTCTCTGCAGGGACAGAAGTAAAAATGCCGGCCGTAGACGGGACAAAAATCGGCCGATTTTCTTTTTGCCGTTGGTGGTAACGTTGGCCTATTGAACGACCGATTTTTTTTTTTTTTTTTTTTTTTTTTAAAACGGACGGTTTTCGACCGGTCTATGACCTTTATAATTCTGTACATTCATTTGTTTTTATTGCACAGATGTACATTCATAGACTGTCCTCGGTCATGTCTGTCCCCTTGATTCTCTTCGCTGACCGTTTCCGTTCTGTCGCCCCTCCCAGGTTCTCCCCACTGATGACATACTAGAATACAAGAAGTCCCACCGGCAGAGTCACCGCAAGAAGGTCCTACCGGAAATCTACTTAACTCGGCTCCTTTCTACAAAGGTGATTGTCCGCGTGAATGTGTATTGTATTCGTTTATAAATCCAGGAAAACGCAGCGCTCGTGGTGAAGGCCAGGGGGATGAAACCATGACATATAAAACCAACAATCAATATGTCCGAATCCAATGGTTTGATTGTTCAATAAGTGGTTTACTGTGACTCTGCAGCTTTTTGCTTTGTTTTTATTGTTTGTATATATTTTTACATTTTTTTGTATACTTTTATATCATTCTTTTGTTCAGCGATATGTATTCATAATTTATGTTTTATATCACGGTGGATTATGGGACCGGCTTACACTGTTTTTTAAAACCAGGCACCTATGCCTTTAAATTTCAGACAACCCCCCTCCCCCGTTTCACCCCAATTTTATGCCGAGTATTTATATTCCTCTTCACCCCGGTTACTAATTGGTTGTGACAAAGCACTGAGTCGTGCGAAACGCGTGGACATAGTGACCGGGATTTGTTTTGGCCAGTACTATTTCAGCTGAGGTTTTCATAGTGGTTGCCGCTGGCTTCCCTGATGGCACGTCCGGTGCGCTGTGACGTCACTTCCAGTGCGCTGTGATGTCACTTCCGGTGCGCTGTGACGTTACTTCCAGTGCATGATCTCTAGTGACACCGTGGAGTTCTTCCTGGTCTCTTGAGAGATACTACGTCGGGCTTCTTGTCTGTGGATATAGTCCTCACCATCCACTGCCCTTCTTCCACCGGAAGTGACCTCAGTGAAGCCAGCGGCAGCCACCATGAAACCCTCAGCTGGAATAGGACTGGCCAAAACAAATCCTGGTTACCATGTTGACGCGTTTCACATGAATCAGTGCTTTGTCACAGTCAATTAGTAACCGGGGTGAAGGGGAATATAAATACTCGGCATAAAATTTGGGATGAATCGGGAAGGGGGTTCTGAAATTTCAGCAGAAGGTGTGGAGTCATACTTTCATGCACAGGTATTGGCTGAATGGTCATTTCTCTGGCTTTATATAATGAGGGACTGAAAAGGGGTGGAGTCTTACTTTCATGCACAGGTATTGGCTGAATGGTCATTTCTCTGCTTTATCGAGGGGCTGAGAAGGGGTGGAGTCATACTTTCATGTACAGGTATTGGCTGAATGGTAATTTCTCTGCTTTATCGAGGGGCTGAGAAGGGGTGGAGTCATACTTTCATGTATAGGTATTGGCTGAATGGTCATTTCTCTGCTTTATCGAGGGGCTGAGAAGGGGTGGAGTCATACTTTCATGCACAGGTATTGGCTGAATGTTAATTTCTCTGGCTTTACATATCGAGGGGCTGAGAAGGGGCGGAGTCACACTTTCATGCACAGGTATTGGCTGAATGGTCATTTCTCTGCTTTATATATCGAGGGGCTGAGAAGGGGTGGAGTCACACTTTCATGCACAGGTATTGGCTGAATGGTCATTTCTCTGCTTTATATATCGAGGGGCTGAGAAGGGGTGGAGTCACAATTTCATGCACAGGTATTGGCTGAATGTTAATTTCTCTGGCTTTACAAATCGAGGGGCTGAGAAGGGGTGGAGTCATACTTTCATGCACAGGTATTGGCTGAATGGTCATTTCTCTGGCTTTACATATTGAGGGGCTGAGAAGGGGTGGAGTCATACTTTCATGAACAGGTATTGGCTGAATGGTCATTTCTCTGTGTTATATATTGAGGGGCTGAGAAGGGGTGGAGTCACACTTTCATGCACAGGTATTGGCTGAATGGTCATTTCTCTGTGTTATATATCGAGGGGCTGAGAAGGGGTGGAGTCACACTTTCATGCACAGATATTGGCTGAATGGTCATTTCTCTGTGTTATATATCGAGGGGCTGAGAAGGGGTGGAGTCACACTTTCATGCACAGGTATTGGCTGAACAGTAATTTCTCCACTTTATCGAGGGGCGGAGTCATGCTTTCTCACAGTTATTGGCCAAATAGTCATTTCTTTTTCTTCCCGGACTTCAGGGAACTCTACAGAAATTCCTGGATGACCTGTTCCGGGCTGTCCTCAGCATCAAGGAGGACCGGCCGCCTCTCGCCATCAAATATTTCTTTGACTTCTTGGAGGAGCAGGCAGAAAAACGCGGCATCTCTGACCCGGACACACTGCACATCTGGAAGACCAACAGGTGAGAACAGCCGCAAGCTTAGATAAGAATGTAGGGATTGGCCGGTTGTCACCATTAAGGACCAATAGGATTTCTTCAAAGCTGGAATGGGTTGGGTTTCTGACTTGGCTCCGCTCTACATATGATTTATATATATAATGTCATTTAATTTTCTACTTCATCCATCATCTCTCTCTGGCCATTCTTTGCAGTCTTCCTCTGCGTTTCTGGGTAAATATCCTGAAGAACCCGGAGTTTGTCTTCGATATGGAGAAATCGGACCACATGGATGCCTGTCTGTCGGTCATCGCTCAGGCCTTCATAGACGCCTGCTCCATCTCCGATATGCAGCTTGGAAAGGTGAGACTCCCTCCAGTGCTTTTGATCAGAGACACATCTGTCTCAAACAGGAGGACTAACACCCTAGCACCCCCTGGTCTTTGCTGCACTTACCTCCCTGGGTGATTGGCTGTCACTGCCCACTCAGTCGGTGCAGTGCTCCAGCAATTTGAAGGTTCTGCTTTTTCTTTAGGGCTTCTGAAATGGATCACAGCGATTTTGATTGGTCGTGTGCTGTCACATGATCACCTTGACCAATTGGTATCACTCTGATTCGTCTTCAATGCGCTATACATAGCCTGCGCAGAGTAGAGTCGTAAAAGGGGCCCAGCAGGCCCCTCCCACTACAGGCTGCTTGTGGAAAAGTACAGGAGGGGGCGGAGACAAGACCAGTCCCCCTGCACAAGGAGAGAGAGCAGCCGTGAGCGGTCTTTATTACAGGAAGTCTCACACTGGATGCCTGCCCAGATCTGGAAGAAATACACAGGATGAATGGATTTACCGGTAGTTGATATTTACTTATGCCGGAGTTCAGGTTTAGGGGAATTGGAATTTAAATGGTTTTGTTCAGTCAAGTTTCCAAAATATCTCAGGAAGGAATGTTCATTTAGGAGATTAATATGGCGGAGTGACTCCAGGGCAGGACAGGTCGTCCCGGCTTTTACTCCCACGCAAGATAAAAAAAATCACACGGTGTACATAGTAAGAAATGTTTACAGTTTTGTCCAAAATACTTTCTGTGGGAAAACATTCAATTCTGCCATTTCCCTTCTAGATGTACTCTATAAACCCCTGGGAGCACCGGGGTGCTGGGATCACATGAACACAGGAGTGAGAATCTCTGGGATCACAGGGGTGCTGGGATCACATGAACACAGGAGTGAGAATCTCTGTGATCACAGGGGTGCTGGGATCTCATGAACACAGGAGTGAGAATCTCTGGGATCACAGGGGTGCTGGGATCACATGAACACAGGAGTGAGAATCTCTCAGATCACAGGGGTGCTGGGATCACATGAACACAGGAGTGAGAATCTCTGTGATCACAGGGGTGCTGGGATCACATGAACACAGGAGTGAGACTCTCTGGGATCACAGGGGTGCTGGGATCACATGAACGCAGGAGTGAGAATCTCTGTGATCACAGGGGTGCTGGGATCTCATGACCACAGGAGTGAGAATCTCTGGGATCACAGGGGTGCTGGGATCACATGAACGCAGGAGTGAGAATCTCTGGGATCACAGGGGTGCTGGGATCACATGAACGCAGGAGTGAGAATCTCTGTGATCACAGGGGTGCTGGGATCTCATGAACACAGGAGTGAGAATCTCTGGGATCACAGGGGTGCTGGGATCACAGGAACACAGGAGTGAGAATCTCTCGGATCACTGGGGTGCTGGGATCACATGAACACAGGAGTGAGAATCTCTGGGATCACAGGGGTGCTGGGATCACATGAACACAGGAGTGAGAATCTCTCGGATCACAGGGGTGCTGGGATCACATGAACACAGGAGTGAGAATCTCTGTGATCACAGGGGTGCTGGGATCACATGAACGCAGGAGTGAGAATCTCTGGGATCACAGGGGTGCTGGGATCACATGAACGCAGGAGTGAGAATCTCTGTGATCACAGGGGTGCTGGGATCTCATGAACACAGGAGTGAGAATCTCTGGGATCACAGGGGTGCTGGGATCACATGAACACAGGAGTGAGAATCTCTCGGATCACTGGGGTGCTGGGATCACATGAACACAGGAGTGAGAATCTCTGGGATCACAGGGGTGCTGGGATCACATGAACACAGGAGTGAGAATCTCTCGGATCACAGGGGTGCTGAGATCACATGAACACAGGAGTGAGAATCTCTGTGATCACAGGGGTGCTGGGATCACATGAACGCAGGAGTGAGAATCTCTGGGATCACACGGGTGCTGGGATCACATGAAGGCAGGAGTGAGAATCTCTGGGATCACAGGGGTGCTGGGATCACATGAACACAGGAGTGAGAATCTCTCGGATCACTGGGGTGCTGGGATCACATGAACGCAGGAGTGAGAATCTCTGGGATCACAGGGGTGCTGGGATCACATGAACGCAGGAGTGAGAATCTCTGTGATCACAGGGGTGCTGGGATCTCATGAACACAGGAGTGAGAATCTCTGGGATCACAGGGGTGCTGGGATCACAGGAACACAGGAGTGAGAATCTCTCGGATCACTGGGGTGCTGGGATCACATGAACACAGGAGTGAGAATCTCTGGGATCACAGGGGTGCTGGGATCACATGAACACAGGAGTGAGAATCTCTCGGATCACAGGGGTGCTGGGATCACATGAACGCAGGAGTGAGAATCTCTGTGATCACAGGGGTGCTGGGATCACATGAACGCAGGAGTGAGAATCTCTGGGATCACAGGGGTGCTGGGATCACATGAACGCAGGAGTGAGAATCTCTGTGATCACAGGGGTGCTGGGATCTCATGAACACAGGAGTGAGAATCTCTGGGATCACAGGAGTGCTGGGATCACATGAACACAGGAGTGAGAATCTCTCGGATCACTGGGGTGCTGGGATCACATGAACACAGGAGTGAGAATCTCTGGGATCACAGGGGTGCTGGGATCACATGAACGCAGGAGTGAGAATCTCTCGGATCACAGGGGTGCTGGGATCACATGAACGCAGGAGTGAGAATCTCTGTGATCACAGGGGTGCTGGGATATCACATGAACACAGGAGTGAGAATCTCTGGGATCACACGGGTGCTGGGATCACATGAACGCAGGAGTGAGAATCTCTGGGATCACAGGGGTGCTGGGATCACATGAACGCAGGAGTGAGAATCTCTCAGATCACTGGGGTGCTGGGATCACATGAACGCAGAAGTGAGAATCTCTGTGATCACAGGGGTGCTGGGATCACATGAACGCAGGAGTGAGAATCTCTGGGATCACAGGGGTGCTGGGATCACATGAACGCAGGAGTGAGAATCTCTGTGATCACAGGGGTGCTGGGATCTCATGAACACAGGAGTGAGAATCTCTGGGATCACAGGGGTGCTGGGTTCACATGAACACAGGAGTGAGAATCTCTCGGATCACTGGGGTGCTGGGATCATATGAACACAGGAGTGAGAATCTCTGGGATCACAGGGGTGCTGGGATCACATGAACACAGGAGTGAGAATCTCTCAGATCACAGGGGTGCTGGGATCACATGAACGCAGGAGTGAGAATCTCTGTGATTACAGGGGTGCTGGGATCACATGAACGCAGGAGTGAGAATCTCTGGGATCACAGGGGTGCTGGGATCACATGAACGCAGGAGTGAGAATCTCTGGGATCACAGGGGTGCTGGGATCACATGAACACAGGAGTGAGAATCTCTGGGATCACAGGGGGGCTGGGATCACATGAACGCAGGAGTGAGAATCTCTGGGATCACAGGGGTGCTGGGATCACATGAACGCAGGAGTGAGACTCTGGGATCACAGGGGTGCTGGGATCACATGAACGCAGGAGTGAGAATCTCTGGGATCACAGGGGTGCTGAGATCACATGAACACAGGAGTGAGACTCTGGGATCACAGGGGTGCTGGGATCACATGAACGCAGGAGTGAGAATCTCTGGGAGCTCCGGGGTGCTGAGATCACATGAACACAGGATATCCCAGGATATGGGTATTTTGTGGAATTATAGCTGTTTGCTCTGGTGGGGGGTGTTCTGATATCCCATGGGCACAGAGGGATAGCGGCTTGCTCTGGTGCAAGTGGGGGCATGGGGGGGTTCTGATATTTCATGGGTATGGAGGAAAAGCGGCTTGATGTGGTGGGGGTTGTTCTGATATCCCATGGGTACGGAGGGATAGCGGCTCACTCTGGTGGGGGTGGGGGTGTTCTGATATCCCATGGGTACGGAGGGATAGTGGCTCGCTCTGGTGCAGGGGGTGGGGGGAGGGGTTTCTGATATTCCAATGGGTATGGAGGGATAGTGGCTCGATGTGGTGCAGGTGGTGGGGGGGGGGGGTTCTGATATCCCATGGGTATGGAGGGATAGCGGCTCGCTCTGGTGCAGGTGGTGGGGGGGGGGGGGGTTCTGATATCCCATGGGTAGGGAGGGATAGCGGTTCGCTCTGGTGCAGGTGGGGGGTTCTGATATCCCATTGGTATGGAGGAATAGCGTCTCGCTCTGGTGCAGGTGGTGGGGGGTTCTGATATCCCATTGGTATGGAGGAATAGTGGCTCGCTCTGGTGCAGGGGGTGCGGGGCTCTGATATCCCATTGGTATGGAGGAATAGCGGCTCGCTCTGGTGCAGGTGGTGGGGGGTTCTGATATCCCATTGGTATGGAGGAATAGCGGCTCGCTCTGGTGCAGGTGGTGGGGGGGTTCTGATATCCCATTGGTATGGAGGGATAGCGGCTCGCTCTGGTGCAGGTGGGGGTGGGGGGGTTCTGATATCCCATTGGTATGGAGGAATAGCGGCTCGCTCTGGTGCAGGTGGGGGGGTTCTGATATCCCATTGGTATGGAGGAATAGCGGCTCGCTCTGGTGCAGGTGGGGGGGTTCTGATATCCCATTGGTATGGAGGAATAGCGGCTCGCTCTGGTGCACACTTGGCACCCTGCAGCCTGTTTTGGTTTGTTGGCCGGCGCACAGCTGGGAATGTTTCTGCTAATGGACGGTTCATTGACCTGACACAGTCACGGACTTGCAGCACACACTGCCTTTAGGGGACGACTTCAAAGAGAGAGACATTAACTGTACAAATGGGGCCACACACAGCTTATCAGGGGAGGAGGAGGAGGAGTACAAGAGCATGTCAGCAACTGTGCCAAAATTCCTATCCAACCCATGAAATATATTGTCTCATTAAAGAAAAACAATTAAAACGTGAGACCGGGTCATTTTTTAAATTCTTTAATTTTGTATATGGAATGAGAAAGGTTTAGAGCTACTCAGGTTTTTATTGCTATCCAGGGCTCTGCTAGAGAGATTAATCTTCACACCCTGTCCTGGTGACAACACTCTCTGTATTTCTTTTGCAGATCTTCTCTCACTTCCTGTCCCGGTGACAACACTCTCTGTATTCCTTTTGCAGATCTTCCCTTACTTCCTGTCCCGGTGACAACACTCTCTGTATCCCTTTTGCAGATCTTCTTGTCCCAGTGACAACACTCTCTGTATCCCTTTTGCAGATCTTCTCTCACTTCCTGTCCCGGTGACAACACTCTCTGTATCCCTTTTGCAGATCTTCTTGTCCCGGTGACAACACTCTCTGTATCCCTCTTGCAGATCTTCTCCCACTTCTTGTCCCGGTGACAACTCTCTGTATCCCTTTTGCAAATCTTCTAGTCACGGTGACAACACTTTCTGTATCCCTTTCGCAGATCTTCTCTCACTTCCTGTCTTGGTGACAACACTCTCTGTATCCCTTTTGCAGATCTTCTCTCCCTTCCTGTCATGGTGACAACACTCTTTGTATCCCTTTTGCAGATCTCTCACTTCTTGTCCTGGTGACAACACTCTCTGTATCCCTTTTGGCAGATCTCTCACTTCCTGTCCCGGTGACAACACTCTATCCCTTTTGCAGATCTTCTTTCACTTCCTGTCTTGGTGACAACACTCTCTGTATCCCTTTTGCAGATCTTCCCTCACTTCCTGTTTGGTAAAAAAAATTAAGTTTCTAGGATGCATCTCTTATGTCCAGCACCTCTCTCCCTGCTGCTCCCCTCCCCTCCCCCACTGATGCTATTGCCAGCTGTCAAAATGACAGCCAGAAATTGCTTTTTTTTCTTTTTATTTTTTTTACTTTTTTTTTAGGTTACATAGAAAAAAATTTGTTTTTGCAAGTCTATACTTCAAAGGAAAGTCAAGTTTGTCCCCAAAAACCAACATATACTATATATATTACTTTGTTATCTTAGGTCAGGGGTCTGCAAACTTTTTAAACAATGGGCCAGTATATTGGGCTTCAATGGGAGGAGAAATTGTCCCAGTATTAGTGGGAGTAAACAATTTTCCATCGTTGGTGTCAGTGGATATAATAGTGCCCCACCACTGGTGTCAGTGGGAGGACTAGTACCCCATCGTTGGTGTCATTGGAAGGAAAAGTGCCTTGTTAGCGTCAGTGGAAGGAATGGTGCCCCATCATTTGTGTCAGGGGACGAATAGTGCCCCGTCGTTGATGGCATTGAAAGGAATAGTGCCCCATCATTGGTATCAGTGGGAGGAATAGTGCCCCATTGTTGGTGTCAGTGGAAGGAATAGGACCCTATCTTTGGTGTCAGTGGAAGGAATAGTGCCCCATCATTGATGTCAGTGGAAGGAATAGGACCCTATCTTTGGGGTCAGTGGGAGGAATAGTGCCCCATCATTGGTGTCAGTGGGAGGAATAGTGTCCCATCATTGGTGTCAGTGGGAGGAATAGTGCTCCATCATTGGTATCAGTGGGAGGAATAGTGCCCCATCATTGGTATCAGTGGGAGGAATAGTGCCCCATCATTGGTATCAGTGGGGGGAATAGTGCCCCATCATTGGTGTCAGTGGGGGGAATAGTGCCCCATCATTGGTGTCAGTGGGAGGAATAGTGTCCCATCATTGGTGTCAGTGGGAGGAATAGTGCTCCATCATTGGTATCAGTGGGAGGAATAGTGCCCCATCATTGGTATCAGTGGGAGGAATAGTGCCCCATCATTGGTATCAGTGGGGGGAATAGTGCCCCATCATTGGTGTCAGTGGGAGGAATAGTGCCCCATCATTGGTGTCAGTGGGGGGAATAGTGCCCCATCATTGGTGTCAGTGGGAGGAATAGTGCCCCATCATTGGTGTCAGTGGGAGGAATAGTGCCCCATCATTGGTGTCAGTGGGAGGAATAGTGCCCTATCATTGGTGTCAGTGGGAGGAATAGTGCCCCATCATTGGTATCAGTGGGAGGAATAGTGCCCCATCATTGGTGTCAGTGGGAGGAGTAGTGCCCCATCATTGGTATCAGTGGGAGGAATAGTGCCCCATCATTGGTATCAGTGGGAGGAATAGTGCCCCATCATTGGTGTCAGTGGGGGGAGGAATAGTGTCCCATCATTGGTATCAGTGGGAGGAATAGTGCCCCATCATTGGTGTCAGTGGGGGGAGGAATAGTGTCCCATCATTGGTGTCAGTGGGAGGAATAGTGCCCCATCATTGGTATCAGTGGGAGGAATAGTGTCCCATCATTGGTGTCAGTGGGAGGAATAGTGCCCCATCATTGGTATCAGTGGGAGGAATAGTGCCCCATCATTGGTGTCAGTGGGAGGAATAGTGCCCCATCATTGGTGTCAGTGAGAGGAATAGTGCCCCGTCCTTTTTTTTTTGTGTGTGTGTGTTTTTTGATGCTTTTTTATGAGTTCTGGTTCATTTTTTCCCCCCTTTTTTTTCAATTTAAATAGTGACGTGCGTTCCAGTGCGTTTTTGATGCGTTTCACCACATTCCAGTACAGTTCTGTGCAGGAAAAATGCCGCCTGTTCTACTCTTTTTTCTGCATCCGGAACGCACTGGAACTGCAAACACTGATGTTTACTATGACATTGAACACCATATCACCTACTTTCTGTGCGTTTTGGATGCAGAAAAAAAGCAACTGAAACGCCTGTAGTGTAAACCGGCCCTTAAAGTGTAACTGTTTTCTAGATAGCAGAGAGCCAATCAGCTCACTAGGAGGTTGTGACATCATCAACGCCTGGACGATAACGCGACCTTTTACGCGTCTTTTATTTCAGGACTCCCCCACCAACAAGCTGCTGTACGCCAAGGAAATTCCGGAGTATCGGAAAATCGTGCAGAAATATTACCAGCAGATTAAAGACATGAGCCCGCTGAGCGAACAGGAAATGAACGCCCACCTCGCCGAGGAGTCGCGGGTAAGATGGAACAACTATACGCCCATTTGACCCGCCTTACCACCACTTCTACGGCAGGCGCAGGTCATTTTTTTCACACCTAACTTGTACTTTTCTTTTTTTTTTCCAGAAATACCAAAACAAATTTAACACCAACGTCGCCGTCGCAGAGATTTACAAATACGCAAAAAAATATCGCTCGCAGGTAAGCGTCGCTTTCACGCGATTTCATGGATTGGAACCGTAAAGCAGACCTCCACCCTAAATGAACTTTGATTTTCCCCTCCCCCTCTCACATTTAGATATTACATTTATTTATTCATTTTATTTTGTGGGGTTTTTGTACCTGGGCCAGAATAATGTACCCGCCCCTCCCATCCCCCGACGTGCGTGTTTGCAGATGTGCCGCAGGGCTTCAGGTCCTGGCACGCATGTACTAAGATGGGCTGTTATGGAAGTCCCAAAACTTCAAGTGTGGAAAAATTCCCCGTCTGTGTACAGGTGTTCCAAATCGCATACACCTGTGCAAGACTGAAGGGGAGGAGCCGGTACACCTGAGCAAGACTGGAGGGGAGGAGTCGGTACACCTGTGCAAGACTGAAGGGGAGGAGCCGGTAAACCTGTGCACGACTGGAGGGGAGGAGCCGGTACACCTGAGCAAGACTGGAGGGGAGGAGTCGGTACACCTGTGCACGACTGGAGGGGAGGAGCCGGTACACCTGAGCAAGACTGGAGGGGAGGAGTCGGTACACCTGTGCAAGACTGGAGGGGAGGAGCCGGTACACCTGTGCAAGACTGGAGGGGAGGAGCCGGTACACCTGTGCAAGACTGGAGGGGAGGAGCCAGTACACCTGTGCAAGACTGGAGGGGAGGAGCCGCTACACCTGTGCAAGACTGAAGGGGAGGAGCCGGTAAACCTGTGCAAGACTGGAAGGGAGGAGCCGGTACACCTGTGCTAGACTGGAAGGGAGGGGCCGGTACACCTATGCTAGACTGGAAGGGAGGAGCCGGTACACCTGTGCAAGACTGAAGGGGAGGAGCCGGTACACCTGTGCAAGACTGAAGGGGAGGAGCGGGTACACCTGTGCAAGACTGGAGGAGAGGAGCCGGTACACCTGTGCAAGACTGAAGGGGAGGAGCCGGTACACCTGTGCAAGACTGGAGGAGAGGAGCCGGTACACCTGTGCAAGACTGGAGGGGAGGAGTCGGTTCACCTGTGCAAGACTGAAGGGGAGGAGCCGGTACATCTGTGCAAGACTGGAGGGGAGGAGTCGGTTCACCTGTGCAAGACTGGAGGAGAGGAGCCGGTACACCTGTGCAAGACTGAAGGGGAGGAGCCGGTACATCTGTGCAAGACTGGAGGGGAGGAGCCGGTACACCTGTGCAAGACTGGAGGGGAGGAGTCGGGACACCTGTGCAAGACTGAAGGGGAGGAGCCGGTACACCTGTGCAAGACTGAAGGGGAGGAGCGGGTACACCTGTGCAAGACTGAAGAGGAAGAGCCGGTACACCTGTGCAAGACTGGAGGGGAGGAGCCCATACCTCTGCCAGGACACAAGGGCCCAGCAGAGCCTTTGGCACATCTGCGTACTTGCCAAAAATATGAAAATGGTGGCGTCAAAGGGCAGGGGTGGAGCCGACTGAAAGGGACTGAACTTTGGATGAGTGTGACTTTAGTGCAACTTTGGCTTTGACCAAGGATGATTGTGCTGTACAAAGCCACACAAAAGTCGCACATATATCATTCAGGTGCGACTTTGGATCATTTACATTGAAGTCTGTGGCCCTCAAGCCGCATGAAAGTCAGACCAAAATAGTGCAAGTCAAGTCGCACAAATATGAATGGTGCTCATTAGCAAACATGGGGCGTGACTTGTCATGTGACTTTGGGGTCCAAAGTCACATGACAAGTTGCACAAGTGTGAAAGGGCTCTTAGGTACATCTAAACCCAAGAGCAAAAGTTTTGCCTTCAGTTGTACCTAAGGCTCCATTCACACCTATGCAGGCGGGACCATGTGCATAGAGAAGCGCAGAGACCCAGAGATGACCTCACTGGGACTAAAGTAAGATATGTAATGGAAATGGAAAGGCTTTATTGAAGAGTTTCATCAACATATTGATAAGTGTGTGGGGGGGGGGGGGCAATATATAAGCTTTAGCCGGCCAAGAGGGGGCCAATAAATGTTCATTGTTGGGCCCTACATACGTGAATGAATAATCAAATCTAAAATCCTACTCCATTTCCACAGATTGTCGGCGCTCTAGAAGCCAACCCTGTCACCAGACGCGGCCAATTACAGCACAAGTTCGAGCAAATGATAATCCTGATGGAGGACGATATCTACACGTGTAGCAGCGAGGCCTAGGAGAGCCCCGGGACCCCTCCTGCCCGAACCATTGACTGTTTTTTAATCCTCATGTGAAATAGGAGCCTACAACAACGGAAATAAATTGGCTTCGAAAACTCTGAGTCGCTCCAGAAATGCGGTCGTCCGAAAACTACATAAACCACAATTGCACTCTGCAAGCCATGGACAGCTCAGCCTCCAACTTGGCCGGACCTAGAAGACTTAGAGGAAGGATAGGACCCCTGGGTGGCTTGTGGCTCCTGCGTTCCATCCAATGGGTCTTGGAGGGTTGGACGTTCTTTGGGTCAGTCGCAGGATTGGCTGACTGTAGTCATGCGATACATTTATCGCAGACAGGATTTTGCACTGTAGACGGAACTCCTTGTCCTGTTTAGAACTGACGTATACCACGAACAGGACGGCACTGCATAGGGGACAACCACTCGCTAAAGATGAGTTGATGCTCTAAGCCTGTCCGCCGCGGAGCTTTGATGCCAGCGGCTCCCAGCGACACCGCCAGCGCTCTGCCAATGCCTTAATGACAGCTGTCTCAGGATAATATAAGGGAGTACAGTGCTTTTTACAGGGACCTGCGTCTCCGCGGGGAATTATGAAACGCACGGAGCGCCAGGAGTGAGCGCACTTCAGTCCATTCCAGATAGTTCTAAAGATGAAAAAGAAAAATGGAATGTGTTTTTGATATAATGCACTTTTTTCCTTCAGTAGAGCAACTTTTAGACAATCCTTGGTATAGATTTGCCGCCAATCCTCCGCTTCCTCATCAACTTTCAAAAGATGGTGGGGGCTTTAAAGTAGCAGCGTGTGATAGGAGAACCTGTCATGATAGCAATATGGATGCTGCCATTATGTAGGCCATAGACGGGTCGAAAACCGGCTGTTTAAAAAAAAAAAAAAAAAATCGGTAGTTCGATGAGCTGACGTTACCACCAACGGTAAAAAAAATCAGCCGATTTTCGTCCTGTCTGTAGCCGGTATTTAATCCCATAATTACTTCTGTCCCTTGCAGAGACGGGGGAGCACACGGGAGCAATACATAAGAAGAAAAGAAGAAGAAAAAGAATAAAGAATTCCAGTCCGCTATTATATTTCATATGAAAAGTCTTGCGGTTGCAACATTGTATCCATTTCGGATACAGATGTTTTTATTTGGATACAAATACATTGTTGCAACCGCAAGACTTTTCATTTGCGCAGATTTTTTATCAGTAAAACGATCGGTCAATTTGCCCATCATTGCGTGGAAAATCCGTTGATCGTCAAAATCGGCCGCAAATTTTCCAACATGCCCGATAAAAAATATGTGCAAAAAGCCTGAAAAACGGACGACCAATTAACCCACTAACAGTGTGAAAATCAGCCGAATTTCAACCCGTCTATGGCCCCCATTAGCATCTTTATTACTTAGAGAGACAATGACCTGGAAAAAGCATGTAGCCAGTGAAGAATCCCTAAGCTGCTAACAATTTCCTCAATATGTGGGCAACGGTAGCATCCATGTGTCTGTCATGACAGGTTCCCACCTTCAAATGATCTAAACTGGGGAAATGTACAACCTCAGAAAATTAAAAGAGACAAAATACAATATTCTGCAGTTGCCATGCTTCTATATCTTCTTACCAGCTAACCTTTACACACAATGCAGTTCGGTCCAACAGCAGCCAACTGTAAAACCTTTGGCAGTAGCAGCACATGATAAAAAGTGCATTTGACCTGGAGTTCTTTTTTAAGTTTTTTGAAGGCGCTAACTGATCTAGAGTTACTTGGCGCCATCATAAATACTGTGACATTATTATTAGGGCCCATTCATGCTTACGCATTATGACAAGTATGTTATTGGAACTGCTCTGTGTGGTATGTTCAATGTGAAAGGCACCCTAATGTACCATAGAGTGGAAGGCATGAGGCACTTAAAAATCATCTGCTTTTTTTCCCTCATTCATTTTGGAGAGGGGGCGGCCTTCATTGGGTTCCCATTCATAACGTGTGGACTGCCTTTATTGCAGCCCTTTCAGAATGAAAGGACTGCCTTCGTTGGCCGCCCATTCAGAATAAGTGGACTGCCTCCGTTAACTGCCCATTCAGAATGAGTGGACTGGCTCTGTTGCCTGCACATTCCTAATGATAGGACTACCTTCATTGACCACCCATTCCGAATGAGCAGATTGTCTCCATTGGCCACATGTTCGGAATGAATAAACTGTCTCCGTTGGCCAGCCATTCGGAATGGGTGGACTGCCTCCGTTGGCCACCCATTCGGAATGGGTGGACTGCCTCCGTTGGCCACCCATTCGGAATGAGTAGACTGCCTCCGTTGGCCTGCAGTTTGGAATGAGTGGATTCCCTCCGTTGGCCACCCATTCGGAAGCGGTAGACTGCCTCCGTTGGCCACCCATTTGGAAGCGGTAGACTGCCTCCGTTGGCTCCCCATTCGGAAGCGGTAGACTGCCTCCGTTGGCCACCCATTCGGAAGCGGTAGACTGCCTCCGTTGGCCACCCATTCGGAAGGGGTAGACTGCCTCCGTTGGCCAACCATTCGGAAGGAGTAGACTGTCTCCGTTGGCCAGCCATTTGGAATGGGTGGACTGCCTCCGTTGGCCACCCATTCGGAATGGGTGGACTGCCTCCGTTGGCCACCCATTCGGAATGGGTGGACTGCCTCCGTTGGCCACCCATTCGGAAGGAGTAGACTGCCTCCGTTGGCCACCCATTCGGCAGCGGTAGACTGCCTCCGTTGGCCACCCATTCGGCAGCGGTAGACTGCCTCCGTTGGCCACCCATTCGGAAGGAGCGGACTGCCTCCGTTGGCCAGCCATTCGGAATGGGTGGACTGCCTCCGTTGGCCACCCATTCGGAATGGGTGGACTGCCTCCGTTGGCCACCCATTCGGAATGGGTGGACTGCCTCCGTTGGCCACCCATTCGGAATGGGTGGACTGCCTCCGTTGGCCAGCCATTCGGAAGGAGTAGACTGCCTCCGTTGGCCAGCCATTCGGAAGGAGTAGACTGCCTCCGTTGGCCAGCCATTCGGAAGGAGTAGACTGCCTCCGTTGGCCAACCATTCGGAAGGAGTAGACTGCCTCCGTTGGCCAACCATTCGGAAGGAGTAGACTGCCTCCGTTGGCCAACCATTCGGAAGGAGTAGACTGCCTCCGTTGGCCAACCATTCGGAAGGAGTAGACTGCCTCCGTTGGCCAACCATTCGGAAGGAGTAGACTGCCTTTGCCAGCCACCCTTTCCTAATGAATGTACTGCCTTAATGTATATGAACACACGCTATAATTTGCATTAGTACACAACAGATTGCTTATGTATGAATGAGTTCTCGAACTCCATGTGTTACTGAGGGAATCTATCACATGCCATCCGCTTTAGTTGTAAGTCACAGTTGCCACCTATAGAGTCACCTCTTTGCCATGGCCTGCAAAACAGAATTGCTTCAACTTAATGACCATTTGCAGTTGATGTATTTGACTCGTTACCATAATAGTATACCCAATAGCTGAAGAGGACGGGTGTCAGAATAATAGGTAGCTGGCTACCACATACTTTATAGTCAATGCCAGCCACAAAGATGTAAATTTAATATATATGACATAGTATGCAAAGCTGTGACTATCTGCTGAGCAGAAGCATTATTAAAACAGTCCAGTCACCTACATACAGTTCAGGCAACAATTTAGCAAATTGAGCCAATGTTTGGAGAAGGCAGCCAATTAGTTCACTAGCTGCTAGTGACATCAGCAAAGCAGCCATCTTGTCAGGCAGGCCTGTAGGCCACAGTTGACATTCCTTTACAGAATAAGTTGGCCAATATAGTTCAGAAAGTGATGTTGCACTGGCTGTTGGTGTGTCTTCAGCAAAAGTGGATACCAAAATGTTTCAGAAAAAATGGACTGTGTAATCAGAGAAGCAATCTTTGATTTAGCCAACTGTATTATACATTTTTCAGTTCAGTATATTCTAGGTATCTACCACTATTAAAATGTTATCGCCCTTGCTGTGCACCTGCTGAGGGAGATCCAAGTGTGAAATTCAGAGTCAAACCCTTAGGCACCTCTGACAGTAGAGGTTCCCCACTCCATAAGAGAAGTGGAAGATGCACTGTATGTAGATGTACATAAAAAGTGAAATCATGTTCTAATTGGGTCCATATGTTCTATTGTGAAATGTTTCATTTGTAATAAAATATATTTAAACTGTTGTGACTTGTTAGGACTCTTGTATTTAAAGGCTTTCCCAAAAAGAAAGCCATCTCGTATAGATTATGGTGGCCAAGATAAGTTTTCCCAACTACCATTATCTATGAACGTAATGGCTCTTATGAAATAAAAGGTTAAAGCCCATCTGAAGCCCAAACACTTAGTCTTCAATAGATTGGGGAGAGTCAGAAAAGGTCATGTTTGGGGTCTCCTGAGGCTATTAATCTTCTATTTGTCCCAGGAGGTGGGGTTAAAGGGGGCTCATTGTCAAATTCAGATTGATAAATCCAGGTTCTGGGAGAGAAGACTCTGAAATTGAGAACTCTGTTCCACTGACCGCCATAAGAGGCGATTTGTACTTTGGAAGGATTCTCTGTTCCTGGTGTGACAGGAAGAGAAGGGAAACCTCTGCCAGGGATCTCAATTCACATTAATCTATGGCTTGCTTACTTTTTTTTCCCCACCACAGGTTGGGGGGAAGAGAAGAGAACCACCAGCCCCCTCAAAATCCCCTATAAATAGTGTACAGGTAGATGGGGGATTGCCTAGTGTGGCATTAGTTTTCCCATGTTCTATTGTCCAGGCAGTGTGGTTGTGTCAGTGGAGAGCTCTTCCAGCTGGCAGAACAATTATAGTCAGACAGGACATTGCATGTTAAAAATCCAACAGGTTGCTGGCACCAAAGACAACTGATGGATCAACAATACAAGCAGCCTGCTCCTAGATGGATCAAATCTTGGTTGGTCCCTGTGGAACCAGAGATTCAATCCATCCATTGCTGGCTTTAGTTAGATGTTAGACATGCTTGAAGGCCAACAGGAGACATGTTTTATGCAGGATACACTATAAATGGAGGGTAGCAGAATAAACAGTAACCACACATGTTGACACTATAAGGAAAGTTTGGCTTGGCTGCTCATAGAAGGCACTTATTTCAGAACCTCAAAACTACCCAACATTGGAAGAGTGATAGCTCAGCCAACATGGGTATTGTAGGCCACCTAGGCATTCTGAAAGCTTCTGGTAGCTCAGCCAGAACATCTGATTGTGCCCAACACATTTAGGATTTCTGTCCAAGACAATTAAACTACTTTATTCAAATAAAATTAAAATCCATTTACAATTAAATTTGTTGCTACATGAGAATGCATTTGGAACACTTTGTAGCTCAAGAAAATAAAAAAAACCAACACATTCAGCTTTTCTAGAAAAAGCCCCAAGATAAAACCAGCAAATTTTCTATTAAATACTTTATTTAAATAAGTTAAAAGCCATTTACAATTTTGCCACAAGTCACTTCCCCTTCTTGCTGATTTTGGCAGCTCCATTTTCTTCAGAGTCATTCAGGGCTTTTGTTGTCCCCTTCTCAGCAGTCTCTGCTTTACCATCCGTCTGCCTTTTTGGCTACTGCTGGGCCATTTGGCTGCTCCTCAGCATCTGTCTTGCGTTTAGAAGCCTTGGTCTTCTAATATAGAGAAAAAGATCAGTCAACAGGCTGATAAGGCAATCAATGGAGGCCAAGATCTGGGAATAGGTTACAGGCATGTTATCTAGTGGAAGGAAGGCAATTAATAGGTAGCACTTTGTCTTGTGAAGATGTGAGCTGCTACAGTCCTCACTGCATGAGGAACTGGATAAGACAAAGTGATACCAGCCCCCCCTTCCCAGTGGTGGTCCATACCAAGTAAATGACACAATATAGGCTTCAACTGCCAAACAAAACCAAGTTTCATGCCATGGAGCTCTCAGGACCCTAGGGTTCCTCCAGAGATTGCAAGGGGTTCCTTGAGCTGTGGACGTTTGACCTCCCATCTGATGGTTCCTAATACTACTTTGTGCCAGCAAGATGGTAATCTTATGAGCAGTCCAAGGGTAGCATTCTTCCCAACGATCCCCCCCTCCCCCCAAGGGGGATCCCTCCCCCAATGAGCTGAAAATTAAAAAAAAAAAAAAAAAAAAAAAAAAAAAAAAGAAGTTCCTCTGGGGGTACAAACAACTGCTCTGAATCAGCAAATGTCAGAAGGAGCTCAGGAACCACATATACTCCTTCACCTCAGGCTTTTCCTTCTTGGAGGCAGTTTCTTCTTCTTCCTCTGGTTTCTCTCCTGCAATATAAGCCAGAGTGACAATCTGAAAAAAAAAAAAAAAAAAAACAGAAACCCCCCCCCCCCCCCCCCCCCCACACACACAACAAGACATGCTAGTAGAGTAGTTTTGTAGAATAGAGCCTTGAAGCTTGGCTATCTATATTATCCTAAAACAGACTGCTTCAATCCATCGGTATTCCCACTTTGCCTCATCCCTGGGTTGCTTGAGCTGCACTGCTCCCGAAATGGCAGTGAAAGCTGGCCAATAGTAGCCATGTCTTCACTTTGGAAATGGCTGCCAATCAGCAAAAAAAAGTGTTGCTTGGGATAGCATGAAATCCAGAAGTTCTGGTGTTAGGCAAAACATGGAGTTTAAAATCTAATATTGTACATACCAGCTTAACCCACTTAGTTACAGAGGGTAAAATTAGAGGCCAGACCACAAATTGTGAAATTGACATGTGTTAGTACATACCACAACTACTTTGTATCCAGGTGGATTATACATTCTCCCCCCCCCCTACAAGTATGGGGGTAAATGGAAATTGATAAAAAAAAAAAAAAAAAAAAAAAATTGATTTTAAAGTTTAGCCATAAATTTCCTGCTACAACCAGACACCCCAAAATAAGTGCTCCTGAGGATCACAGCAACACAGGTGTATGTTTGTACCCATAGCAGGGCCCAGAAAGTACATTTTGCTTTTTATATCCTACCTTAAAAAATACAACATCAATTTAACTTATTAAAAAGTTTCCCAAAATATACTGACCTGGATCTAGTAATTTTTTTAAACACATCTACATCTGTCTCCCCTGCAAGGAGAGAAAGATAATATGGCCTGTATGTATACAATGCATCTTTCCCTCCATTTAGAAGAGGCATACATGGGTGGGTGCATGGTGACTGAGGCCATCACAGCAGTCAGGTGACTGGGAACCAGATGGCCCAGGTTCTGATAGTTAGTAATGCACTCCCAGTGCATAGACTAGTCAACATACATGGCCTCAAAGGCAAAGACCCTCTTCCTTGAGTCTGCATACTGTTGGCACCAAGTGGTAGCTACATTACATTTATGCTCCCCCCCTTCTGGGACATCTATAAATCAGAGAGCCAATAACCCTGTAGCAGATGTAAATTGCACCGAAGGTGGCCCACTGGATTTCTGATAGGATCACCTACCCCCCCCCCCCCCCCCAGAGATACACCAAGTTGAATTTTGAGCCACTTACCTTTTGACTCTGTAGATTTCACTTTCTTCACTGCCTTTTTCTTGGACTTCTCACTTGGCTGGGCATTGGGGTCCGCTGTCTTTTTCTTGGGCCTCTCACTTGGCTGAGCATTGGGGTCCGCTGCATTTTTCTCGGGCTTCTCACTCGGCTGGGCATTGGGGTCCACTGCATTTTTCTCAAGCTTCTCACTCGGCTGGGCATTGGGGTCCACTGCCTTTTTCTCGGGCTTCTCACTCGGCTGGGCATTGGGGTCCACTGCCTTTTTCTTGGGCTTCTCACTCGGCTGGGCATTGGGGTCCACTGCCTTTTTCTTGGGCTTCTCACTCGGCTGGGCATTGGGGTCCACTGCCTTTTTCTTGGGCTTCTCACTCGGCTGGGCATTGGGGTCCACTGCCTTTTTCTTGGGCTTCTCACTCGGCTGGGCATTGGGGTCCACTGCCTTTTTCTTGGGCTTCTCACTCGGCTGGGTATTGGGGTCCACTGCCTTTTTCTTGGGCTTCTCACTCGGCTGGGCATTGGGGTCCGCTGCCTTTTTCTTGGGCTTCTCACTCGGCTGGGCATTGCGGTCCGCTGCCTTTTTCTTGGGTTTCTCACTCGGCTGGGCATTGCGGTCCGCTGCCTTTTTCTTGGGTTTCTCACTCGGCTGGGCATTGCGGTCCGCTGCCTTTTTCTTGGGCTTCTCACTCGGCTGGGCATTGGGGTCTACTGCCTTTTTCTTGGGCTTCTCACTCGGCTGGGCATTGGGGTCTGCATTCTCCGATCCTGCACTGCTGTCCCCCTCCTTGGTCTTTGGTAGTGGTTTTGCCAGCTGGGGAGAAAGTAACCCATTTATTGCACCCGATTCCTGTATTTTATTAGGAGCCTTTGACTTTTAACAGTACCACCTGCCGATGAAAGTCTGGTGTAGGGGCAAGACTATGAAGCATTTGTAAACATTCCTCCCCCATCTAGATTGTAGCCCCAAGAACACCTCAGTTCTTGTTTTAAAGGGCAAGTCACAGCAAACTGCTCAGATTAGGACAGTTATGGCTCAGCCAGCCTCAAACCAAACCCCTATTTTAAACACACGATAATCCCACCAACTCCAACCATGGAACTTCTGACATATCCCTCTTCCTCCATCAACTGGCCATAACAGCAAACCTAACTGCCCCTTTAAGGTCCCCCAGTTGAGGTTAAAGCCCTGCATGTATCAGTCTGATTTTACAGTCATTTTTATAAGTGTATAAAGACCAAAATATATCTGTTTAGCCATAGACCCATTATCACAAGCATGTTTACTGGAGTTGATTCACCACCTCTTCTAAAGACAGTTCCAAGCATCCACTACTTCTAGTAAAACATTGACTAATTCCCTCCAGAACCACACTTGAAGAGTCAATCACATTCCCATTTTCCATAAGGTGGTACACCAAGTATCCATCTCCCACTAGTTTTAACCATAAAGCCTACACCAATCTTACCAACTTTTTATAGGGACGCCTGCAGAACCCTGCAGAACTGAAACTATTCTAAATTGAGTCCAGTTAGTTTTATCAAGACCTTCTGCCTGCTGGTGAAGACCCTAGTGATGCACCCCAGAGTTTAATTTGCTTCCCCCCCATTTCCTGAAACACCTTTGCTCATTTTGTCATCTGAAATCCCCCCAAATCCAGCTTCTACATACCTTGAAGCGTCCAGTGGCTCCAGTAGCACTGGAGTTTGATGGTCGGACAAGGATACCCTTCTCTATCCCCTTGTTCAGAGCAGTCTTCAGCAGAAACTTAAGTCTTGCAGAGTCAACAGTAGGATGGGCTGCCAGAATCCTAGTGCGTATGGCTTGCACAGAGGTCCCCTTCCTCTCAGAGTTCTTCTTCAGGGCCTCCACCACCATGGCCAATGTAGTAGGGCGAGCCAGTGTCTTCAACTTGACTGGCTTTCGGGCTTTCAGCTTGGCTGGCTTTGGGGCTTTCGTGGCCTTGGTTTTAGTTCCAGCAGCAGCTAAGATATATGATTAATTGGGGGTAGTAACTATTGTTGAGACTTCAAGCAAAGAAAGCATTGTAAAGTATACTGGCACTTCTCTGGTTTCTTGAGCTACATCAAAGACTTGAGGTTCCACACCAACAATCCCACCTTACAGAACCAAAAACGCTAAAGAGTCAACACATTGAGGACAGGAGAAGGGATTAAAGCAGAAGACCCTGGGCAAGGTAGCAGTGCTTCTTTCCACCTCCATCAATGGACTGATAATGGCTGCAATGAGCTGAGAAGCCACCCAAAATTACATTAACTGTACTAGCCTCACCACATCCACCAACTGTCTATGGTGGTCAAAGCTGTGCACCTGCCAGTCACAGGTGCTGATCTAGAGGGGGTGCTAGGGTGGGCTTCCCCCCTAGTCTCTAGGAGTGCATTCACTGATCCATGAGGCACTCTGATGGGGACAGTTAGTGTACAGGGGCATGCTGATGGGAACAGTTAGTGTACAGGGGCATTTGATATAAGAGGCACCCTGATGCAAGGAGGTACCCCCCCCCAAAAAAAAGGGGGCACTTAATATATGGAAGCACAGGTTGTTTAATCATCCTAATCTAATGCCAGCCTGATATTAAGAGTTCTGTGTTCACTTCTGCAATGCCTCTGTACTACCTGACAGATGTTATTTCCAGGTTGTGACTCTTGGTGCAAAGGTGAAGGAATACCTGTTCCCTGCGTCTTTCACACTGTTGACCTGCCCTCTGACTTTGTATACAGCACCAGCAGATCAGATAGGCTAGTACCGACCCTGCAGTCACATTGTGACTTCAGTCTACAAATTTGACCTGTGCAATCTTCCTAGCTTACTGCCAAAGCATGAAGGTTGTAGCTGGGCCCCCGACCTCCACCTTGGTTGCTTTGTGGATGATCCAACTATGTCTACAGTAAGATTTGCAGCATTATGTCCTCAGAGCCAGCAGCCCTATCAGGAGATACATGATGACACTAGAACAAAGAAGCCACCCATCTTTCTAGAGAGAAGAGCAGATGAAGGCAATACACATCTGAAGTGTTACACACATTACCTTAGGAGGCACATACCTAATGCTAGGTCCCCTTTAATGACTAAAGGCCTGTGCATACAACACGGTTAGTTATCCACAGGTTCACCTTCATCTAACAAATCACCTTCCACTGATATTGCTCACTTTAGTCTCCCTACAGAGATAAAAACCTCTCAGCTGCATAAAGTTCATGGTTTTCAGGTCCTACCTGGTAGGCTTTGACCAAGAACCATGGACCACCACCACCATCCAATACAATAACCATAGCCAGTATATGTAACAATACAAATATGGCTACATCCATGTACATGTAATGGTGGAAAACTCATCTCATCTACAAACACAGACTATAGCATCCACATCTTTGTAAAGGGGTGTCAGGGGGTATTACACTACATTACACCCTATAATTCACAGTCCAACCACCATCCTTACCAGGAGCCTCTTCTTTGCCCTTGCCAGCTGGAACAGCTTTCTTTGGCGCCATTACAGACCCACTCAATTAACTCCTAAACAAATCACTGACTATACCCAACGATCGCTCCCCATCAATGCTTTATACACCTGTTGATCCTCACCAATAAGGTGTGTAACAAGGATCACCTGATCTGATCACGAGTCCATGCAGAGCCCCGGGTCACAGCCTGAATGTTCCTCATTACCTCTCACCTGTGCACCTGCCCTGTTAAAGCCTTGTGGCCCACATTAACCAATCTAAAAAAAATCGTTCGTCGGGCAATACGTAGTGTTGACGTCTTCCGTACAAGTGGAAGTGATGCGGTGTGTGTGTGACCTTGTAGCCACGTCCCTTCCGGCCAGAACGATCGATATACACAACGATTACCAGCAATGAGTATAATATCGTTTATTCCATGATCGATATACATAAATTGTGATACATAAAATATAATCTGCAGAATTCTGGTTTCATCATCTCATTCGGCCGATCGACTTTTAACAATTGGATTTTTTGTTCGTGTTGATGAAGATTCCTCGGACATAAACATCCGGGTCATCTTCTGTTTCCGCTCATGCGTGATAGCGCTTGATAGATTTTTTTCGTACGACCGTCATACCGCCGCATACAAAAACTGTCGCTCGTATGCGAAATGACAAAATGTTTCACTGTTGTTCAACCGGATTTTTCCGTTCACAATATGGTTATCTGATAAAACATCCCGCTCATCAACGAAGAGAAAATCGTTCGATCAGCAGTTCTGTGAAATTTTTCGGACGATTTTCTTATCGTGTGTACGAGGCATAAGGCAGGCCATACATGCGTTGAATTCCGAACAAATTTTCTTTCAAATTTTGGCACCGTTAGGGGGGCCGCAGCATTGGCCAAGTTTCGTGCAGCCATCGAATTTGAGTGATTAGGTATGCTTGAATTTTTTTTAAAAAAGCTAACGGATTTCTAATCAGCTATGGGAGAATCGTGCGATAAATATAATCGTAAAAGAAATGCACATGAGCTGTGAACTGGAAAGAAAAGAAGATTCCCAGCCGTAAAAATTATTTTCTGTAGCCAGATGAGGTGAAATTGAAGGCTGGGTTGGTGGAATTTCGAAATCAATGGTGGCACCATTAGATTACAAAACACAAAATTTCTGATTTTCTAAAGAAAATTAGTTCAGAATTAGACCCATGTTTGGCCTACATAACTCCATTTTTCCTTTCACTGTATGCACACTGGACGTTTTTGCAGCTCCTTCTAGAGGCGTCAGGCATTTTTTCTTCCTTCCTCTAAACCCCCCTCCATGTTAGCCCATGTGGCCATGCACTCATAGACTTGCAGCTTAGAAGCAGAAGGAAAACCCAATACCAGTGCGTCCAGGAGCAGTAGAGTTTTGCCAGAAAAAGAGTTTGCCGCTTGTAAACGCACGTTAAGACTAGTCGCATTTAGCGCTTGAGCGTTCATTCATCTCAATGGCCAGCATAAATTATTATTCTGGCCAATGAAAAAGGATTAAACCCACCCCGCAGGCCAGAGTACTTGGTGTCATTCTGGACTCCAACCTATCCTTCCAGCCCCAAGTCCAATCTTTAACAACCTCGTGCAGACTCCACCTCCGCAACATGCAGACTCCACCTCCGCAACATGCAGACTCCACCTCCGCAACATGCAGACTCCACCTCCGCAACATCGCCAAAATCCGCACGTTCCTAACCCCAGAAACCACTAAACAGCTCATCCACTCCCTCATCTTATCACGACTCGACTACTGCAACTCCCTCCTCACTGGCCTGCCTCGCCGCTGGCTATCCCCGCTTCAGTCCATCCTGAATACGGCTGCCAGACTCATTCACCTTTCCAACCGCTCCATCTCCGCCACCCCCCTCTGCCAATCCCTCCACTGGCCTCCACTCAGTGTCTTCCACCCCTCTGCCAATCCCTCCACTGGCTCCACCCCCCTCTGCCAATCCCTCCACTGGCCTCCACTCAGTGTCCTCCACCCCCATCTGCCAATCCCTCCAATGGCCTCCACTCAGTGTCCTCCACCCCTCTCTGCCAATCCCTCCACTGACCTCCACTCAGTGTCCACCACCCCCCTCTGCCAATCCCTCCACTGACCTCCACTCAGTGTCCTCCACCCCCCTCTGCCAATCCCTCCACTGGCTTCCAATTGCGCAACGGATCAAATTCAAAATCCTAACACTGACGTACAAAGCCGTCCACCATACTGCCCCGAACTACATCACTGACCTAATATCCAAGTACCGCCCAACACGCACACTCCGCTCCTCACAAGACCTCCTTCTCTCTAGTTCCCTGGTTTCCTCCTCCCATGCCCGCCTCCAGGACTTCTCCAGGGTGTCACCCATCCTCTGGAACTCCCTGCCCCAACCCATCAGATTATCACCTACTCTCCCCTCCTTTAGGCGCACCCTGAAAACCCATCTCTTCAGGGAAGCCTACCCCACCCCCTGCTAACCTGCCGACCTCCTTCACTCTTCCTACCACTCCATCCCCCCACAGCTATCTCCTCCTGTGCCACCATCCCCTCCCTCCTAGATTGTAAGCTCCAAGGAGCAGGGCCCTCAATCCCCTCATGTTTTGCATTGTATTGTTGTTGTTCTGTCACATGTTCTGTCCCCCTTTGTACTGTACAGCGCTGACCAAACTATCGGCGCTTTATAAATACTGTATAATAATAATAATAACTCCCAAGCGCTTGACGCCTGTAAACGCGCCCAAATGCTGATGGCAGGAGGAAAGGCTTCTAGGAGAGTTTGCAAAACGTCCCGTGTGCATGAGGCCTAAATAGTTTCTTTTGGCCAGCTTGGTAAACTGTGATTGAGGGTTCCTTCACACCAGCAGCACTGAGCTGCATCGCCCAATGCAGGGAAATTTGCCGAAGAGGACTTGGTGCATTGTTGCCGAGCACGTTCTGTAACGCAGTGCGGTTCATAAACTTGGCACTAAGAATTAAAGCTGACAAAAGCACCGCGATGTATGTTAACCATGCATTGTTGTGCAGTGCGTGTTACAATGACAACGCATGCACTGTGGGGCACATTGGCCCTCAAGCATCCAATTAGGAGTAACAGAAATTTCATTTTGTCTGGCTTTACTGCTTTTCATTGGATGTTTGAGGAAACCTTTTTACATGTGAAGATGGGCGTTATGTTCTTGTGTCTGACACAGCATATGTAGCTCTACCCTCATAAGTGATGCTGGATTTGATTGGGTCCCCCTAAGCTCTGCATGGCCAGGCCAGGGGCGTATTTACCACAAGACAAACAAGGCATTTGCCTAGGGTGACATTTTTCAGGGGGGCAGCCAGGGGCGGACTGACCAATAGAGCACTTGGGCACTGCCCGAGGGCCCAGGGTCAGTAGGGGGCCCCATGAAATGCACCTGGTATATTTTTATAGGCTTTTTTGGGTGTGCTTTGAGTGTGGTCAAGGACACAGGGGCCCCTTGATCCCCTATTGCCCGGGGGCCCTATGAGTTGTCAGTCCTCCCCTGGGGCAGCAGCATTTTTCAGGGGGACAGTGCTGCCCCCCGAAAGAAGGGATGGAAGAAGGGACACACGCAGCATGGGGACCAGGTGGGATCTGAGAGAGGCTGCTTGATGGGGTATGTAGAGCCTGACTCTTGTTCCCGGGAATCTCTTCTGTCTCACCGGGGTGGGATGGGTTACCAGTGTATGGGGGGTGGTGGAAGTGGAAGGCTCTCTCGGAGGCTCTCTCGGTGGGGGGGGGGGCTGGGGTCTTGTTGGTCAATGTCAGGATCTCTTCAAGGGGAGGGGGGTATTGATTGGTGTCAGGGTCTCTCCGTGGGGAGGGGGGCCAATTTTGTGTTGCCTAGGGAAGCATGAAACCTAAATACACCACTGGGCTAGGCAACATGCATTTTTCTACATTTGTACTTTCAGAGTCAGTAAAACAGTCCTTGAGCTGTTTTTCAGTTGTTTTTATAAAGGGGTTAACAACTTGAATGGGGTCTAGGGGTATATGGGATGCACAAGAGTCTGTATAATTTGAGGACAAACTTCTTAGTAAGTACAGTCAGGTCCATAAATATTGGGACATCAACACAATTCTAACATTTGTGGCTCTATACACCACCACAATGGATTTGAAATGAAACGAACAAGATGTGCTTTAACTGCAGACTGTCAGCTTTAATTTGAGGGTATTTACATCCAAATCAGGTGAACGGTGTAGGAATGACAACAGTTTGCATATGTGCCTCCCACTTGGTATGTACAAAAAAAATGTGGACTAGCAAAAATATAGCACTGTCTCTTTTGGTGTACCTCCTCAGACCCGGGATGAATCCTCCTCTTTGCCCAGCTGTGCTGAGGGTATCCCTGAGCAAGGGGTCCCAAGAGCTTACAGTTAAGCAGCCTCAGATGAAGACTAGTTGGGTCTTGCACCTGATCTCCCTCTCTGCTTATTCGGCCCAGGGGGTGTAGGAGTACTCACACTGTCCTGTCCTGCCGGAGTGGTGGGTTGGTAGCTTCTGTCAAGCCTTTCATTGGGCTGGCTCCTTCCCTGCTGCTCAGGATGTCCTCCCTAGGACACTTTAGGCAGTGGAGATCCTCCCGTCCAGTAACCAGTCTGTAGGTATGCTCTCCTCCCTGGGACCCCCTCCCAGGCTCCACACTCCAGCCTTCTCTCAATCTTCCACCTGACTCTGCACACCTCCCCAGGCTCTGTCATATTTGATAGTTGCCCTGGTCACCATGCCCAGCTTCCTCCCAGGGGCAGGGGCAGACTGATCATTTGGAAACTCGGGCACTACCCGAGGGCCCGGGGTCAGTAGGGGGCCCCATGAGATGCCCCTGGTACCTTTTTCATAGGCTTTTTTGAGTTTGGGTAAGGACACAGGGGCCCCATGATCCCCTATTGCCCGGGGGCCCTATGAGTTGTCAGTCCGCCCCTGCCCAGGGGATTAGCCAAGGTCCATCAAACTTGCAGACATGGGCCTCCTCCCCTCCATCTCCCCTGTTCCAGAAAGTTCTCTAGTTTTTGGAAAGGTGGGAGGGCTCCAGAAGCCCTAACCTGTAGAACCTCCCAGCCTGTCCTGAGGGCAACTCCTGCCCCACTCGCAAGCTGACTCATCCCAGGCTGCTACTCTAACAAAAAAAAATCCTATTTAACTAACCTAAAGGGCGTTATAGTTACATTGAATGAAGGTCAGCATATTCCGTTTTATCTCAGTGGTACGGAGGACAGTTCTGAGGCTGTGTTGGACCTACTTTGCGTTGTGTTACTTTGCGTTGGACTTAGCAGGTCCTATTGGAAATCATTTGCATTGCAGGTAAAGCATGTCAGATGCAACCTTTTGTTGTATTTTGCATTTGTACTTTGAGTCCTGCATCTGCCAGCAGAAAAAGATACGCAGTAGGAAAGGTTTACTTGGCTGAAGTGCTGCTGCCGCAATATACAGAGAGGTCCTTCTCCTGTGCATCTCATTGGACCATGCAGCTTTCCCTGTTTTGCTCAGTACAGCACCTGTGCTTAGCACCTCTAGGGTTGTTGGTTCAAATCCCAGCCACAATACTACCTGTATGGAGTTTACACGTTCTCTCTGTGCCAGTGTGGGTTTCCTCATCAACTCCAAAGATATCCTGGTAGGTTATTTGGTCCTAGTATGTGTATGCCAGCAGCCTTCTAGGACAACCATGTCATGCCTTCCAGGAGGCCTCGGTCTACTCTAGAGTGTATGTGCCTAATGAGGATGGTGTCTGTCGGTTCCTGAATGCACATATTTAGGAGGCCAGCTGCAAGTACACAGAAGAGACAGATGGCCCAATGATATCAAAGAAGAATATGGAAGAGAACTTCGAGAAGGATCCTTTTGAGAAGGATCCTATTTGAAGAGAACTTTGAGAAGGATCCTTTTGAGAAAGATCCTATTTGAAGAGAACTTTGAGAAGGATCCTTTTGAGAAGGATCCTATTTGAAGAGAACTTCAAGAAGGATCCTTTTGAGAAGGATCCTATTTGAAGAGAACTTCAAGAAGAATCCTTTTGAGAAGGATCCTATTTGAAGAGAACTTCGAGAAGGATCCTATTTGAAGAGAACTTCGAGAAGGATCCTTTTGAGAAGGATCCTATTTGAAGAGAACTTCGAGAAGGATCCTATTTGAAGAGAACTTCAAGAAGGATCCTTTTGAGAAGGATCCTATTTGAAGAGAACTTCGAGAAGGATTCTATTTGAAGAGAACTTTGAGAGGCATCCTTACCTAGGCTCTGCTTAAACAGTAACTCCACTTTTGTTGCCAAAAAAATAACCTCTCTCTAGGTCATCAAAGTACATTGCAAGGATTTTAACAAACTTGGTCGCAAGAGTCCTACCTTTTGTTATCCTGAAGAAATACAGTAGCTCTTTGCTTGTCTGTGTCCATGAATCTGTATGGGAATTGTGTCATAATTAATCAGGTGTTGCACCCGCAAGGCTTTATTAAGGAAAATTGAGTCTGTATCTCTTTAGACGTGATTTCCTTTGGGAGTATCTCACTAAAAATTACATTTTGCTCCAGGGGATGCCAAAAATCTGACTTGCATTTTAGTGTGGACTTCTGGGAAAATCATTGAGCCAATCACATAAGCAGGAAATTACATTTTTGGGGGGCGTTCTGTATGGAATACCTCCAGGCAGCTATATTCAACTGAATTTTACAGAAAATGAAAGCACTGAAGATTAAAAAGAAAAGGTAATTTTTAATTGCATTAAAATACATTTTGGCTTGAGTCGCAATTGTATATGTTATATTATTATTATTTTTTTTTTTAATTTGCTATTTTTTTCCCCCAAAATTGGATTTACCCTTTAAAGATGTGAGTCCAGGGGTCTAGGCCTGCTGTCTGGGAAGGGTGTAGCTGCAGAGAGATCTAGACTTTGCCTCCTAGGTCTGACATCTGGGGAGGGTGTACTGCAGAGAGGTCCAGACTTTGCCTGCAATCTGGGGAGGGTGTAATGCAGAGAGGTCAAGACTTTGCCTCCTAGGTCTGACATCTATGGAGGGTGTACTGCAAAGAGGTCCAGACTTTGCCTGCTGTCTGGGGAGGGTGTACTGCAGAGAGGTCCAGACTTTTCCTCCTAGGTCTGGCATCTGGGGAGGGTGTACTGCAAAGAGGTCCAGACTTTGCCTGCCG